AGACACGAGGGTCAGGCATGTGCACTTCTAAAACACACACAGAGATGAGGGTCAGGCACGTGCACTTCTAAAACACACACAGACACGAGGATCAGGCATGTTCACTTCTAAAACACACATAGAGACACGAGGCTCAGGCATGTGCACTTCTAAAACACACACACAGACACGAGGATCAGGCATGTTCACTTCTAAAACACACATAGAGACACGAGGATCAGGCATGTGCACTTCTAAAACACACACACAGACACGAGGATCAGGCATGTTCACTTCTAAAACACACACACAGACACGAGGATCAGGCATGTCCACTTCTGCAACACTCACACAGACAGACGCCCAGTTAAAGATGCCCCCTGAGGCTGGTGTGCTCTGGGGGCACGCTCACCTTGCCCTTCTCCGTGAGGATCTGCTTGTAGTGCAGCCAGCCCTCCTTGCGCACGTCGCTGAAGGTGAGGTTGCTCAGCTCGGAGGTGGAGTGGCGTTTGGACCGCGTGTCCTCCGCAGCCCCCAGACTTTCCAGGGACTGAAACAGAAAGAGGGCAAGGCAATGAGACACAGGTGTGGACATTCACCTGAGGCTCAGCAGCAGCTGTCTTTTGGGTAATGCAACTGCTTTTCTGTCCAGCACAGCTTGTGCTTTTGCCTTATAATCATCCCTGAAACACTGCCCTCTGCATCGCCATGGAAAATCTGCTGCTTGCTTCTCCCTTTTGATCGGATTTGCAGCATGGCTGAACAGTAGCCAAACAGAAATAACAGATTTTCAGAACCATGAGATGGTGTGCTAAGTGTTTAAAAGAGAGCTAAGGCTTTTGTATAACTTCCATTATGACATACCTGCTCTACTTGATACAGACACCAAAGGCATCACGCAAATTAATAATGAGTAGCTGTTATTAGTCGCTACATACAATTATTGTTAGTGGAATTTAAATAAAGCATGCTGCGGAAATATTGACTTAGAAATAGGTTCACCTGCAAGCTCTTACACATGCAGAGCTGATGGCAATGTACCAATGCATAACTATTAATTCAATCCCTCCAAAAATTTTTTGTTACTCCTTTCTGAAGCACGTTCTCTTAAGACTTGAACTTTCGGAGTTTTGAACTCACCCCATCGGTAAAGAAGCTTTTGACTCTTTTTGGCAGTCTCCTGAAACGACAGAGAAGAGAGAGTTTCATCAGACAGCCAACAGCAAGGCCATTGCCTCGTCTCCTGATCTCGATTGCCCCTGCTCCAGCTGAACACAGTAACAGGGGAAAAAAAGGCAACTGAGCACACCTGCTGGCCCAGGAGGGCGACAGTACCACCAGGTATTGGAAGGCAGTCACAGTCCTAAAACAGTGAAGATCTGGAAACATTGGTAATAAGTGATGAATGGGGACATGAAGAAGACACTCGAGTGACTCTGCAGAACCAGGAATAGCAGGGACTAGCGGACAGCAGCTCTCTGGCCGTGTCTCAATATCTGTGCTTGTGGTCTTGCGCCCTTCGTATGTGCGTTTGCGCTCAAGTCTGTAAAGGCTTAGAGCGTCCCATTTCTAAATTTGTGTGTCACAAGAGTGCTCACGAGCACCCCAAAGGCGCTGTTAATGCGCCCTTCTCTGAAGTCTGGATGGGAGCAGACTTTGCTGAAGGGAACGTTGCAATATTCTAGCCTATCAAAGCGGAGAGAAGTCGCCACTGATAAATATGAGCTGTGTAACCATCGAGTGATGTCATGCGAGGGTGTCCCATGACCTTGAAGTCCACCCTTGCTCTATGTCACAGAAGTGGGGCCTTGGGGGAAAGGCTCAGGGCTCGGTGTGAGAATTGGGACACAGCCCCACTCTACTGCTCAGGGGGCGTGGTCGATTGGGGTGTGTGTGTGACAAAGAGGCGGGGTCATGCACGGGCGTGGTCAGGAGGCGGGGCCACACAGGAGGCGGGCCATACTCACGAGAAGACGCGGCCCTCCTCTCGGAAGGTGTTGAGCCCCTCGTCGCAAGACTTGGAGCGCTCCGTGGTGATCGCCAGGAGGTAGGAGGAGCGCCGGCTGGCCTTAATGCTGCCTGCTCGGAGACAGGGAGACAGAATCCCAGAAGAGATGGGGTGAAAAGACACCTCGAGGACTGCCTGGAAATCAAGCCACGCAGCAGAAGAACGAAGCGCGGGGGGTTGGAGAGCAGGGAAAACGGAGTGGAGGTTACGGGGGAGAAGCAGAGCAGAGGAGGGTGGGGGGTGGGAGGCACTGTTCCCCTCAGGGCACTTCACACACAGCTGTCCGAGTCCTCGACAGACCGAGCAGAACAGCTGTTTCGCCTTCTGCTCTCACTGTCTCCGATGGCAGGACTCCTAAGGGAATTGGAACAGATGTTCCCCCCACCAAATAAAGAGATTTTGAACAAAAGGGATGTGATCTACGTGATTTTAACCGTGACCTCCGTGAGAGGAGGCGTCATAATATTTCGTCAACTGCCTCTGACAAAATAAAAAACGGATAAGCAAGAGAAAAATGAACCGCCGATGCGCCGGCCTGCTGTCCTGGCTCCTACAGGCGGTGTATAATTGTCCCGGGCACGAGGAGAGGGCCTGGCGTGCCCAGTGTAGCTGGAAGCAGGCGTGCAGGCATGCCGGGGTGGGGGGGCGTGCGAGGGGCGTCACTCACTGCAGTCGTGCGAGAAGAGCCTGGTGAGGGGGAAGGTGAAGGTGGGGGAGGCGGGGCTGGTGGTGATTGCGGGCGCAGAGCTCATGGCGCTGGACACCACCGAGGAGGCGGGCACGTGGCGGGCGCGCAGATCGGCGCTGGGGCTTGTCGGCTCATCTGGGAGGGGAAGAGAGATCAGAGCCACACGGCGCACACATTACTGTCACTGTACACCAATCAGGAGACACACGCAGACTCCCATCGGAGTCCCCCTGCGGGAGACACACGCAGACTCCCATTGGAGTCCCCCTGCGGGAGACACACACACACACTCCCGTCAGAGTCCCCCTGCGGGAGAC